TTAAATGAAATGTTTCAAAAATCAACTACAAAAGATTTAAGCTGCGAGGCCCAGCAAAATTCGAAATGTTAAGTCCGAGGATATGTGGATAAAGCAGGAGAACATGCTGTTCCGTCTTTTCTGTACAAATCTGAATACATCTCTTTTTTTTGAAGAAACCGACCACCATTATTTAAGATGGTTGTGCTGAGCAATTAGTTCATGCGCCAAAAAATCATGGGTATTCCATGCTCAATTACTGGGATGCTCCTACGGGTACAGCAATGCCAGGTCCTTCAATTCTGCATATTTGCACAGTAACTACTCACTGCTTGTTTGTTTGATAAAAAATATTTTTAAAAAACTAACATTTACGAATGTCTGTATATGAGGCGTTAATCTGCAAAAAATATAGGTGATTAACAAAAAATGAACACAAGCGGCTTTTGACAGAAAAAAAAATATAATTCTTAATTATTACTTTTCAGAAGTTTAGGTAAAAACTTTTATAATCATTACAGTTAAGGCAAAATTTTTTTTAGAAAACTGAATTAAATTTTTCAAAATTATGTTATTCAGTGTTCAGAACTTTTGACAAAATGAAGTTTAAAAAAAAATCAAAACGATTTTCAAAATCTTTTTTTTTTAAGTTATAATCCATATCTGTACTCAAATTTTATAAGCTTTAATTATTTGATGATTTACAGGTACTGAAAAATAATTTCAACACAGTTTTATATTTACGACCTGTTTTTTTATTTCAGTCATCAACCGAATCCGAATTTTAATCGGTAAAAGTATAGGAATTTTTGCAAAAATCACATTTTAAAAGCCTTTAATTAATCATTCTTAGTATTCATGGTGACTTTTTTAATTAAATCTAAAACTTGAATTTGATAAAAACATTAATTTTTGATAAAACACACTTATCAATGCTCTTCTTATCATAATGAAGATGAATTCTCAGCGACTGGAATCCACTATCACCCGTTGGTGCGTTACGACGATTTCGAAGCCTGTTATTATCAATTTCAGCAGCGTCCACTGCATCCTCTTCCACAACATTCACATCCAGAGGCACATCGAAAACAATGTCATTCACGTTGGGCACCTACAATAATAAAAGAGGCTGAAGCATTTTGGTCTAGGAATGGCGCCATCGTA